CGGTGCAGGTAAATTTGTACACTTATTTGGACGCATTACTTTTTAAGCGTATAGGCAATAAAATTGACTTAGAAGTGTTAATTAATACTGTGTTTGATATATCTGAAAAATATTTATTCCCACTAGAAAGTTACTTTTTATTTTAATATGACGAATGTTATTTCTATCAAAAAGAGAAAAGTAACTTCCATCGCTTATGAGCGAAAAGTAGTTTTCCTTACACTTACCTTGACTTCAACTTTATATAACAAATTTCACCTAACATTTAAACATTATTATTAATTTTTAGTGCTAAAACTTTTTATCAAGATACTATTTGATTAGCTAGTATTATTACTTGACATTAAATATATAATTTTTCTGTAAAATATTTCACTCATCATCAATCAAACACTTTTACTGAAAAATAGTTTTCAACTTCCAAAAAAATGTTCCAATAAAAAAGACTTACATCATAGATATTTCTCATGGGCGTAATTAGTTTTGAAGCACTTCTTGAAATTTGTAATTAAGTACTGTACTAATTAATGGCAAACATCATAATGTATATAATCTTGAATTATGTGATTCTTTTCACCTGCCAATTAATTTGTCCACACAATATGCATTTGCCTCATATAGTGCCTTGGTGAAATTGTTGTCACTAATTCGTTTCATTCTGCTGTTTTCCAAGCCCTCTTGTCAAGTCGATCCTATTAGCGCAAATGATTTAGCAGCCAATGTAGCGGTTCTTTTAATTTTATTTTATATGACACTCTTTTATGCATTTTGAATTGATATTTTATATAAAAAATCTCATTAATCTTAATTTTTACATTCTGCGATTAATGAAATTTTCTTATAGGACTGACATGATGTGAAAGTTTACAAGATTCTAAAGTACTTTTAGTACGTTAGATCATATTGATATATTTATATATCAAAATCAATCTTTCTTAATTTAATAGTCAGTTAAATACCACCATATAAATTCGTCTGTTCATTCGATTACTTGATAAAGATAATAAGATCTAGATCGGTCATCTCCTTAAATATTGTTGCCGCCTCTATACACCTTTTCCATCAGTAAAGATGCAACTGTGTTTATCAACAAGGCTGATAGTGCTTACTAAAATGTCATCCGTTTTTATGTCATCCGTTTTTATGTGAGATTGTCATGTTCAAGTTCTTGATATGTGATGCATGTGTATAAGGAGGAAAAAGCACAAGTACACTCATGAACAATAAGGGGTGTCCAAACTTTTCTGAAGTACCTTCTTGCAAGTAGCAACAAATTAAACATACTTTGCATTATGAAATTATGCGCTCAATTAAACTAAGTCACATAAAAATGAAATGGAGCACAAATAAAGCAAAGTCATTCAGAGAAATAGAACCTAACTCATTTATCTGATTTCGGTGCACTCCAACATTAATAGATCTTCACTTTTATCTACCGAAACCAAGAACGGAAAAGTCAACATCAGCTTCAGCCACTTGTTGTTGCTGCAGTTTCAAAGTAAATGCCTCAAGGAAGAAATTTCTCCATCCCTTATCATCAGTCAGCATCAGCACAGTCAAAGACTATGATCTCAAACTTCAAAGCAATGTCATGCCATCTCATTTCCAGCCAATCAAACCCCTTAAGATCAACGTTCATATAAACACATCAACTGGATATATACCAAACAACCTAAACAATTGTCACGACCCCAGTTCGCCCTCCGTGAACATGTCGTGATGGCACCTAGTCCCAACGACTAGGTAAGCCTGACAATGCAAATATAACATAAATTGCGGAAACAAATAATTAAACTAAACAAACTAGAAGGGTAACTGTATATAAATGTCGCTCGGCATATACAACCCAATAATGCGGAAGTCTACAATATCATCCCAAAACCCGGAAACTCACGGGAACACAAGCTAACGGAAGGTAATACACTGCTCTAACACCAGAATGTCTAAAACAACAGTACGAAAGGAAAAGCTAACTGCTAAAGCTAGAATAAGATAGAGACTTTTGGTCTGCGGACGCGGCAGATGTACCTCGAAGTCTCTGGTATGTCTCTCCGCCTCGAGAGTGATACGCCTAGGATGAAGTACCTGGATCTGCACATGAAAAACATGCGCATAAGGGGCATGAGTACACCACAGCGGTATTCAGTAAGTGCCAAGCCTAACCTCGGTTGGGTAGTGGCGAGGAAGGTCAGGGCCCTACTGAGAATAAACATAATAATAAATCTTGCAACAGCATGAAATAAACGGAAGTAATGAGTACAACTATGAAGTAAGACAGGTTATACAAGGCAACAATTAACACTCAGAGAATAAGACAACACAGAGTAAAACAGCTCAATACCAATACCAACAACGAGGATCTCCCAAGATACCGTCCTGTAGTCCATTTCATCAACTGTCCAAGGAGCTCCCGGGATACCGTCCCGTAGTCCATCATATGAGTATATCCGAAGGATCTCCCGGGATACCGTCCCGTAGTCCAGCTATCAAGGTGCAGGGGGATCTATCGGGAATCTAACCCGCAGTCCCAAAGTAAATGTGCAGGGGGATCTACCGGGAATCTAACCCGTAGTCCCAAAGTAAACAAATAAGGGGAGAGCTACCGGAATCCCACATCTGTATTCCCAATGTAATACGCAGTCACAACACGAAGAATATTCAGAAATGAAGCTCAAAAATACAAGGCAACAGGTAGTTCTAGCCTAACATGCTTCACGTAGTGCAAACAAGGTAACTTGAACAAATAGACAATTTAGAACAACTAAGCATGCTTTTCTGCTAACACAGTCTATAATTGCAAATAAAATAAAGCGGATAAGAAAGAAACTCAGTCTAAATATTTAAAGTAAAACCGGATTTTTCAACAATTAGCTCAAGTACGCGCTCGTCACCTCACGTACAAGGCATTCAATTACCAAATATCATATCCTAAGGGGAAAGGTCCCCCACACAAGATTAGACAAGCCACTTACCTCAAACCGACTCCAAAATCAACTCGAAACCACACCTTTGCCACGAGTATCCGACTCCAAATGGCCCAAATCTATTCAATTCAATTACATATCGTAAATAACATCTCAAGCAACTAATTCTACTATTAAATTTAAAGCTAAGACGCGAATTTAGGTAAAATAACCAAAACGCCCCTCAGGCCAACGTCTCGGAACCTGATAATTTTCACATTTTCAGAACCCTCGCACTCTCACGAGTCTAACCATACAAAAATCTCCCAAATCGGAGGTCAAACACCCACTCAAAACTCAATAATTCGGTCTAAGAAGTTTCTTCCAATTTCTCCCAATCTTTGATCCCCAATCCGAATTTAAATGATAAAATTAACTATAGATTGATGGAATATAACTAGAAAGGGTTAAAGAAATGTTACTCAATGATCTCCCCTTCAAATCCCTCTTAAAATCGCTCTCTCCCGAGCTCCAATTTGATTTTTCCAATTTTTGAAACAAAATCCTTAAATTTCATACTTCAGTCCAGTGGTTTCCGCTTCTGCGGAACTTAAGCCGCTTCGGCAGTTTCATTAAAAATCCAACAATTTCGCACCTGCGGTCCTGATCTCGCAGATGCTGATCCGTTTCTGCGAAAATCCCACCGCATCTGCGGAGCCTGATGAGCCTGACCAACCCGGCTTCTGCGGTCCTCCACGCCGCATCTGCGGTTCCCAAGCCGCACATGCGAAAATACCAGAAGCAGCAATGCTTCAGCCGCTGCAACACTTCTCCGATCTTCCCGTCAACCATCCGAAATCACCCCGACGCCCCCGGGACCTCAACCCAAAGCACCAACATCATCTAATACCCCATTCAAACTTGCACCAATCCTTAAAACACCAAAAACAACATCGGAAACTCGAATTAATCTCTGATTTAAGCCTAAGAACTTCATTTTCTCTCAAAACACGCTTTTGATCAAAAACCTAACCAAACCACGTCCGAATGACCTGAAATTTTACACATACATTCCAAATGACATGACGGAGCTACTGCAACTTCCAGAATTCCATTCCGACCCTCGGATCAAAATCTCACTATGAAACCGGAACTTCAAAATTCAAACTTTCGGCATCGTTCGAGGAATGGGCCAGACCGGGTCATTTCTCAAGAACAATAGCTAAAGGGCCTGATACTACCACTTGGATCTGGAACCTACATGCTGATGCTCACGATTTCGATAGCATTTCAAGCCTAAATTAGCTACGAACCTCCAAAACACGTCCCGAACACTCTCCCAACCCCGAAATCACCTAGCGAAGCTAACGGAACCATCGGATTTCCGTTCCGAGACCGTCTTCACACTGTTCTGACTATGGACCATTTTCCAACACTTAAGCTCTCATTTAGGGACTAAGTGTCCCAGAACTTTTCGAAACTCAAAATCGAACGTCCCGGCAAATCAAAATAGCAGAAATAAACTTGGGGAAAGCAGTTAATAGGGGATCGGGGCGTTAATTCTTAAGACGACCGGCCGGGTCGTCACAACAATATATCTATAAATAGAATCAACGCGGAGCCAAGAATTTTTATTAGGAGATGTCAAAATATAAAAAGTAATTATACAGAAAAAATAAATAAAGTCAACATATAGTATATATACGTAAAAATTAAATTTTACCTTGTTACATAGTATAATTTTTTAATAAAGGAATGTCAATTGACACCCCTTCGCATAAGGTGGGTCCGCCACTGAAGAGAATACTACATGAATAGTTATGCAAAAATATGTACTTCCATTTTAATTTATGCGATTGAATTTCTGTTTTAGTTCGTCTCATTTAGTATGACAATTATTTATATTTGAATATAATTTAATTTAAACTTCTTATTTAACCTTAATAACAAGTTTCTATATCTAAACAAATGTTATCATATGTCTAATATCATAAGTTTCAGAAGTTTTGTATCCACATAATTGTTATGACAACAAATTTTGAACATTTTTCTTTCCTTTTAAAACTTTGTGCTCAATCAATCTATGTTACATCAATCCAAGAGAACGATGGCCAATGCTTAGCAAAATTAAATTGGGGTATAAGTGCACTTTTCCTTCTCCCAACAAAACAAACACCAAAATTTCTTAGCCCGGTACATTAATTAAACGTAGAAAAAACTAAAGTCAACTAATAAATCTAAACTAAGCATAAGCAAAACAAGAAAATCAAAGTCCTTTTTTTTCCACAGTGCCATGAGATCAATCCAAAAAAAAAAAAAAAAAAAAATCTTACATGTATACCCTCAAGATTAATCAGTAAGGTGGTGGTGGTTGTCTAGCCGGAGGTGCCCATATTATATCTGATGGCAATTGATTAGAAGTGTAAAAAGACTGATCCGGTGGATGCCCACTATCTCCTCCGCCAGACACCGCCACCGGTGGCGACTGACCGCCGTCCTCATCCTTCACTGGGAACTTATGGTAACAAGGATTATTAAACGTAGCTGCAATCAAATATACAGTCCCTGCCGACAAAAGTGGCCCAATAACAGCCCCACCCACCACTTGACCTTGTGGTCCTGCTAACGAAATAGTGAACCCATTAGGTAAACTTGAATTCTCTAGAACAATTGTAGCTGAGATGGATAGGATATTAAACGTGCCATGGAACGTAACAGTAGAAGCAGCAGTATTTGAAGGCTGCTTAAGAGTAACATTTGTGACTGTCCCTGAACCGTTAAGAACACAAAGACCCATGTTTCGTTCTTCGCAGAAACGAAAAATAGAATCGATTATATCAACCCCAGTTGGAATTTCAAGAATATAAGGACTCATGGAGGGTTTTTCCACATGATCGTCACGTGTTTTTATGATGAAAGTTGCATGTTTAGGTTTATTCTTGGAACCCGGAGGACGGCCACGTGGACGGCGGACAACTTCTATCGTGGCACCGTCGTTGGCGGAGGAGGAAGGTGCTGTTGCTACGGTGGATATTGGCTGAGGTGGCAGTTGGTGGTGGAAATTTTGGGCATGATGAAGCTTAGCAAACATACTGCTAGTAAGACTATTAGTAGAATGGTTTTTGGTTTATTCTACAAATTCCCCTAATTTCATTTTAAAAAAATAAAAACGTTTAGCCTTACGGATTTTGAGCGCTCTCTATATATACCAAGAAATGAAAGAGATGATTGGTTCAACTATGTATGGGCAATTGGGAATACAATAACATAAACAATGAAGAAGAAATCAGAAAGAAAAATAGATAGAGGGAGATATTTGAGAGAGAAAAGAGGTATTGGAGTTTTCCTTCAAAGAGTAAATTAAGATAAAATAATAATCTTACTAATACTAGAAGAAAATGGGGTGTGACATTGTTTGGGAGAAGGGGGAAGAGAAGAAGGTGATTAGATTGAAAACTACTCCTATATATAAGAGAAGACTAATGGCGCCGCTTGTAATTGGAGGCAAAGGATAGGCCAATTGTTTTCTAGAGGACAAGTTATATCCATCGAAAGTGTAATTTCTTTTTTTACGTAATTAAATTCTTCATTAGATCTATAATCACATATCGTATCAACTCTTTTGATAAAATTGATAATCTGATAAGTAACAATTATATTATCACAAGTTAAAACTTATTGATAGTATATTGTCAATATATATATCGTTAGGGTTGTTTGATTACAGGGATATATAAGAATAGTAATTTCAGAATAAAATATGGGATTGTACTTATTCTATGTTTAGTTATGGGTATTGATTAGCTAGTGATGGAATAAATTTTATACCAAAATAGTGAGATTAAGTGAGATAACTAATCCCATGAAATATTCCGAACTCATGTAATATTCTTATTTATCCCAACTCATGTAATCCTTTCTAGAGAGATATGTGAACAATAGAAAATGGATTTGATTATTACAACTTTGCTTTCTTTGTCATCCTTTGCTTCTCTTTAATTTGCTCTTAAGTTTGAAACTAAGAGAGGGAGAGAGGTTAAGACTAGTACTCTTCGACCAAATGGATTGACAAAGATTCGGTGATATACATCTCTCACTTTCTTACATTTTCTTCTATCTTAGCAACTATATGTGCATGCATGTGGCGATATATCTGTTTTCTACCCAACCCCTCTTGTTACTACGTGGGGCCCTCATGTGTCACTTGTGTCTTTAGTCAGACACAAATAAATGCCACCTAATGAGCTCCCACCATACATTTGGAGCCAATCTCGGCTAACTTACTTTGACTATATTCTTTTTCTTTCTTCATTCTTCATTCTTGTTTTGGTTGCTAAATCCTAGTGTAAAAATTACCTGAATAATTATAGTTAAAGATAACTTATGTAATATGTAAAATAAATAAATGTAAAATATAAGACTGATTGTGTATTATAACTTACAATCAGTTAAAATGGTGTAAGCATTAATTATACGATGAATGTATATACCCCCTCCGTTTCAATTTATGTGAAACTATTTTCTTTTTAGTCCGTGCAAAAAAGAATGACCTCTCTCCCTATTTAAAAACAATTTACCTTTATGCAATGATTTATAGCCACACAAAATATATCTTCTCTTCTTTTTTCTTTTTCTCTTTTCAACTTTGTATTAATTATTCTATAGTGCATTTTCTTATGTTTTATTTAAAACAGCTCAATTTCCTTTTCGATGCTTACTGTTTGTTGCCGGAATTTTCTTTAACGCATTGTAATCACATTTTACATCAGGGTCCTATCATATATGATACTGACTTTTGTAGGGCATGTGACAGCACCAACTTTGTCTATTAGGTGAAGAACTTATGTCAAATTTAGGCAATTCAAATAATGGAGCAAGACTCGATACCTCAAGTTGGAGTAACTATTACTCTCACAAAAAGCAAACATAAGAGGCAATAGAATCTATACCCATTAAAAATAAAATAATTGGTTAACCATTTATTTAATAACAATTTATAAGAAAAAAACTTTTCGCATTTATTGTGTCCTTCTAAATATAGTTGTGTTCATTCTGAATAGTCACTAACTATTCCTAACAACCGTTTGATCCATTCAAGATTAAAACGAAGCCCTCATTATAAAAGCCTATACATAGCTTCTAAAAATGATCAGTCATAAGAAAGAAAAGAGCAATTCAACATTGCATAAGAAATATAATTTTCATCTATTTGAACCGTATGAAAATTTTCTGTCCTAAAAATGGTTTCACAAAAACGCCTCACTTATATTCTTGCATAATTTTACTCTTTTAGATTATCTTTTACCATGTCTATAACAATGTAAGGATAGTAGTGTTCCAATTACTTGGAGTCATCGTTATTGTGTAAGCATACAAATATACGGAGAGATTTGAAAAAGAATATTTGGGTTACCAAAAACGGTGGTTAAAGAAGAAGAGAAAGGTGGTGGATATTGTGACACTGATATAATTTAGTATACAATTGGTTATGATGACAAATGGGACAAATAAAATTTGAACCCATGTTTACAATTTATTTTTGGAGACAGCTCGTGCAAGGCCTTTTAGAACTGAGCCTCTTCGAAAGTTAGAAGGTTTTTCCTTACAAGATATGACTTTGAATATGGGGATAGACCATAACGTCAAAGCAACAAATCAAAATGGAAGCGGCAAAATATTTCGGGTTTTTATTTTTTAAAAACTCACACCTCTTGAATTTTTAATTTCCTAACTTAATTTGTGATTTTGGAAAAGATGAATACATGTTTGTTATGTTAAGGAACGGCATATTAGTTAGTGTTATAATTAACTTTGTTATTCTATTGCTAAGTTGAAATTCATAAATTGACTTATACTATGGTATATCCATAAAAATTAAGTGAAAGTTTACTTTTAAGTTGAAGGATGATATAAAGTGGAGTATCTTATTTGGAGAGATCATGTCCAAACTTTAAAAGTTTTAAGATCATAAAGAAAATATTATATTTGCATTTTAATACTATAAACTTTTCAGAATACACAATATTCTCGAAAACTACATTAATATTAATTAAACATTCCATTCTTTTTGCATAGATTCACACACATATTGAGTACTATTTAAATATATAAAAAATAAAATGGCATGCATAAATCAATAAATAAAGATAATTTTATTAGAAAAGGTAAGATTCTCATGCTTTTTATGATATAGTTTACATGTTAGTAATAGTGAAATTACTTACTGGAGGACGGAGCAGGAGAAAAAGGAAATAATAGGTAAATATTTATTAGAAAAGATAAGATTCTCATGCTTTTTAAGTAGAGTGAAATTATACTAAATTTCTGATTTCTTTTCTAGCTAGGGAATTTTGATAACAAGGGTCCTGAGTAATGACAAAGCAACCTAAGTGGATGAAAGAATATGCATCATAAATATCATTTATAAAAACATATTAGGTGAGATACGCTTCATTGCATGTTTTTTTTATCTCATAAACTCTAATAAGGTAAAAGAATGATATATATCTAATTAAACTTTGATGGTACTATTTATCAAGCATAGACTATATGACTCGGTATACATGTGCAACGCACGTGCCGAGAAACTAGTTAAGCTTAAAGAATGAATTTACTATATTTATTTTTGCTCATGGAATTAGAATTTTACATGTTTTATTGCTGGAGAATGTGTTATCTTGACTAATCCAAGTAGAAAGTACCTCATGTGGATAAATGCTAATGCCATTAAGCAAGAATCATTGCTAGGGAAGGAAACTTCACCACGATAACAAGACCTTATTAACTCTAGTGCCCTAGAGTATTAGGAAAAGAAAGAGCTATATTAAAAAGCTGTAATGATCTAATCTTACGCGTAACGTGTTGATTCTTTGTCGGCAAAGAGAAGTCAAAAGATTAGACAGGGGTCGGTGTAATACTGATAGCATACTTCAAATAGGCAAAAGAATGGATAACACATAAGTGCTCCCTAAAACAAAACGGAAGTGATTTGACGTGATTCAAACATCCAGTTGTTAAAATAAAAGTCATTTAGTTTTATTGAAAATTTCATTCGTTTTGGTATCTGATTCGTAGTTCTAGGTGTTATTTTGGTATTTTGATTGCACGAGAGAGTTCATATAATATTTTTGGACTTGTGTGAATATTTGGTTTGGAGCCCCGAGGGCTCGGGTTTCGGATAGCCTACAGACCTTTTGAACTTAGGTAAAATTGCTGGTTTTTATTTTTGCTGGTGTCTGGTAAAAGCTTCTTGCGATCATGAATATACTCCCGCAATCGCGAAAGGTAAGTTGGGACTGGGGGAGAAATGTTCTATGCAAACGCGAGGAATAGGACGCGAACGCGGAGCAAAGGGGGGAGTGCCCTCGCAAACGCTTCCACACCCACGCGAACGCGTAGCTTTGTGAGGTGGGGCCCGGGGAGTTGAGGTAACTCTACGCGAATGCAAGCCCAGTCTCGCGAAAGCGGAGTTGAGGCGGGCTAGGCCTTCGCGAATGCATGGAGTTACTCGCGATTGCGTAAGCCAGTCAGGCCATGCTCTTCGTGAACGCGTCAGGTTTCATGTGATCGCGATGAACACCTGACGCCAATGATTTAAAATAGTCCAAAAACGGGATTTCTCCCATTTTTCATAAACCTTCCATTAGAGCTCGGCCTAGAGGCAATTTTGAAGAGAAAACTCAACACCAATTAATAGGTTTGTACACTTTAACTCATTTCTTCCATTTCTAACATCACCCGTTAATTTCTAGCCTTAATCTTTGTTCTTCCATGGTAGAAAACTAGGGATTTAGGAAGAATTTGGGGGGGGGGGGTTGCAAATTTTGGATTTATACCTCAATTTGATGTCAGATTTCGAAAATAATTGCATAATCAGGCTCGGGGGTGAATGGGTAAATAGATTTCGTTTCGAACCTCGGGTTTTGACCAAGTGGGACCGGGTTTGACTTTTTGGAAAAAGTGTGGAGACCCTAAGTTTATGCATTATAGAACATGCACTGCATATTCAGCTGGATAACAGTCGGAGCCCCCAGTGGCAGCTCCTACTAAAGGCAGAGGTCGAGGCCGAGGTCACGCCAGAGGCCGAGGCAGAGGCAGAGCTCAGACTAGAGCTCGAGCAGCAGCACCAGCAGTGGAGCCTCAGGTAGATTTTGATAAGGAGGTTCCAGATCATACCATACCTGTTGGACCAACTCAGGTCCTAGAGGGGTTCATCACCACTCCAGTGCTTCATGATGCTCTAGTCCGTTTGGTTGGCCTTATGGAGAGTATGGCCCAGGCCGGTACATTTCCAGTGACCCCATCCATCTCTCGGGTTGGGGGAGGATCATAGACTCCTGCTACTCACACTATGAAGCAGATGACTCCCCAGTATCAAACTCTAGCAGCCCCGCCAGCTGGGGTAGTTCAGCCGGTTGTTACGGCACATGCTGGTGATAGGCCCGCCATGTCTTCTGGAGGTTTATTGAGATTGGACAAGTTTACAAAGCTCTTCCTAGTTCACTTCAAGGGTTTACCTTCTGAGGACCCACATGATTATCTTGACCACTGC